GTTCTGTCCTTCGGATATATTTTGTACCCTGGTACTACTGTATCCCATTGATTATCCTCATTCCACCAAGTTTCTGTGATGCCCATTATATCAATATCCTAATTTAATATGAGGCACTCTAGTTCACCTATTTTATTATTTAGACTTCTAGCATTGGTATATAAGCACTTTAAAAACTTGTCTCCTTTTAGCTGTCTGACATTACATGATGTAATTGAATGGGACTCTTTTTTATTTGATTGGTTCTGATCAGACCCTGCCTGTATTTTATCATTTTCCATCCTCTCGTCCTCACTAGGACATAGAGATTCTCTATTATTAGATCCTCCCATAAGGGATGTCTGAACCACCTGCTCCTCTGCACCCAAACACTTTGCCCCGCACCCTTCCCTGCCCTTTCCCCTAGGCCCCATCTACTCCATTCTCCTCCCTCCGACGCTCGCTCTCCCCCACCCTCACTCACTTTCATCGGGCTGGGGCAGGGGGTTGGGGTGCAGGAGGAGTTGCAGGATGGGGCTGAGGGGTTCAGAGCGTGAGAAGGGGCTCTGAGCTGAGCCTGGGGCAGGGAGTTGGGGTGCAGAAGGGGGTGCGGGGCGCAGGCTCTGGGAGGGAGTTTGGGTGCAGGAAAGGGCTCACGGCTGGGGCAGAGGGTTGGGGTGCGGGAAATGGTTCGGGGTGCGGGCTCCGGCCGGGCGGTGCTTACCTTGGGTGGCTCCTGGAAGTGACTGGCATGTCCGGCTCCTAGGCTCAGGGGTGGCCAGACAGCTCTGTGTGCTGCCCCTGCCTGCAGGCACGACCCCCAGCTCCCATTGACCGCAGTTCCCGGCCAATGGAAGCTGTGGAGTCGGCGCTCGGGGAGGGGACAGCGCGCAGAGCCGCCCGGCCGCCCGTGCACCTAGGAGCCAGAGGGATGTGCCAATTGCTTCTGGGAGCTATGCAGAGCCAAGGCAGGTAGGGAGCCTGCCTTAGCCCCACTGTGCTGCCGACCAGACTTTTAGCAACCTATTAAAATCTACCGGATTGGTTTCAGTAGCCACCAGATTGGTTTCAGTAGTTAGCAGATCGATTTAGATTCCGGGAGGGTTGGCAACCCTAGGTGTGGTCATCACAGAGTTGAAGCAAAGGAGCATCATAAACTGAAGAAAGGTGAAGGTGGGACAACTGGGGTGAAGCAGGACTTTGCAACCAGGGAGAGGAGGAGTTTATTACCTCTTGGTAATAAACAGCATGTTGTTGAAAAATGTCTTTTATTGTGGTGGTAACTTAGGGTTTATTATTTTCCTAAGTGAGTATTGGATGTTAATATAATATAAATAATAGAGTAATAATATAAAGTATTGTTTCTGACAAATTTCTGGGTTTTTCCTTAATACATTTTTAAAATTTAAGGTTATTTCCATTCTGTTGGTTTGCCTCTGCCGCTCCTCACAGTAGGCAAAGCCTAGCTGAGGCCTGGGTCACTGCACATGTTCCCACCTGTTATAGTTCTTCACCATTGCAAGAAAATTATTGGATACATTAGATGGAATACAGAGAAGAAAATAAAGTGGACTATCTGGAGACTGGGAGAAATTAAATTATGTACAGCAGTGACTAGAAATATATGCATTACAATTTCATAGGAAGATTTAGAAAGGGGTTCTATATTAAAAGGGGCAGCTTGAAGGATAGTTTTATTGGCTAAAAGAATAGCTGGCCCAATTATGATTAACAGATGCTTTTAGCTGAAATAAAGGGATATATGTAATAAATAAATAAATGGAATGAGTTCTAAGCATTACAGTTAATTTTATATAGTTAAAATAAGCCGCCTGGATGCATCTGGTGATAGTCTTACAATAGCTGGGTGCGATGTATAATTAATTTCCCAAGAGATAATCCATGTGTGTGTATGTAACAGACAGCGGTGGTATTTTTGTCTGTTTATATGTACATTGTATTGCATCACTGAGGAAGGCAGTGCATCAAGGAGGCTGGGAAAGGCAAGCAAGCCTTCACCTGAAATTTCAGTTCAACTCCAGTTTCCTCAAAGATGGCCAGTGCCTATTTGCCTAATGTTGTACACTAGGTTCCATCCACTGCTATGGTTTCCCTCCTAGTGGTTAGAGTCTATAACGTTGGCCCCGCCTAGCGGTAAGAGTCTGTGGTGGCAGCCCTGCCAAGCCATAGCGGGTAGGGGTAACTAGGCCCTCCCGCTCCACTGTCATCTGACCCAGGTGGTGTCTTGGGCACTGTAAGGAAGATGCCTGCTATCTGTGGTCCAACTAACACCCTCCCCTGGGTCTCTTCCTATCGCTTTTTCCTTCCTTGGGGCACATCGTGGCTTGTGGTTGTCCCTTGCAATGCAGCCAAGGGCCTCTGAAGGCTGGAGAGTCCCAGCTTCATGCCGCAGTCCTCCTCCTACAGATACTCCTGGCGTAACCCCTCCATAACAGTGAGTGCAGGTCTGTCTCTCTCCACCTGCCACCCTGCTGTGCTGAAGAGACTCCCTGGCTGGCCCCAGAGTTGTTCTGCACCCCCCCCTCCAGTGTGGGATTTATCTACCCCATTATAGTCATGTTAGGCAACTGCTTGATGATTGTCTTTAAAGCCAAGGGTGTTGACTGCCACACTGATATGAACCTTTACAAGAATGTTTTGTTTTGTTAATTTTTCCTTTGGAGCTCTAAAATCTGATAAGTAGAGCTTGGAAAATGTAAGAGTGGTAAATTACTTATGATCTGAAAATTTTTGCAGCAGTGGTAATGTACATTAAATATAAAGTATTGTTTGTTTTCATATCAGTTTTCTCCTCCCTCCATCCCCCATACTAGCTATTGTCCTGTGCTTTGGCTTTTCACAGTCTCTCTGGCAGATCCAGTTATATTTTTGAACCTGGAAGTTGTGACCCAGGGAGTTGGTGCCAAACGGCAAAAGGCACAGGAGGTGCATATGGTTTTACAGGAATACTGTGGGTTGGATATATGCATAATAGTTCACCAAAGGGTAACATGTGAGGTCTCTGCTGAGAGCCAGTGGCTCACTGGTCATCATAATCCTTGCAAAATGTACTTTTAATATGTAAGGAATTATGAATTGTGGAAAAATTGGAAAGAGTCCAGCAGAGGGCAACAAAAATGATTAGGGGTCTGGAGCACATGATTTATGAGGAGAGGCTGAGGGAACTGGGATTGTTTAGTCTCCAGAAGAGAAGAATGAGGGGGGATTTGATAGCTGCTTTCAACTACCTGAAGGGGGGTTCCAAAGAGGATGGAGCTCGGCTGTTCTCAGTGGTGGCAGATGACAGAACAAGGAGCAATGGTCTCAAGTTGCAGTGGAGGAGGTCTAGGTTGGATATTAGGAAACAGTATTTCACTAGGAGGGTGGTGAAGCACTGGAATGCGTTACCTAGGGAGGTGGTGGAATCTCCTTCTTTGGAGGTTTTTAAGGCCCGGATTGACAAAGCCCTGGCTGAGATGATTTAGTTGGGAATTGGCCCTGCTTTGAGCAGGGGGTTGGACTAGATGACCTCCTGAGGATCCTTCCAACCCTGATATTCTATGATTCTATGAATCTATACTAAAAATTATGATCTTAAGGTCTTGGAGTTTAGGCAGGTCACCAAGAGGTGACATACCTCGGAAATGTTCCTTTCAGGCAGGAGGTAACAGATATCTATTTTCCTGTCTGATCATTTGGGTATTATTTATTATATGTCTATATGCATACTGAACCCTTCCAGGCTAAATAAGAGATTGCAAAATCTACAAGATGAAATGGACAGCAGGAGGTGTCCTCTTTATGAATAAAGACAAAGGACTGTTCTGGTATATCTAGTGGGGGCAAAGAAACACACTGAATCCTTCACGTAGAAGGCAAGGTGACAGCATGTCAGCCTCATGAAAGGAGGGTCACAGCCAAGGGTATAAAACACTGAAAGGAGTTTGGGTGAACCAAACTCTACAAGACATGAGTGTTAATTAAGTCTGGGATCTAGAATGTTGCCATTTGTTTCAAATACTTCTTGCTATTGTTTGAATCTCTGTGCTTTGTTAAATAAACTTATACTTGATTTCACTATAAACATATCTAAGAGCTATGTGTTAAGTGGAGAGGTGATCTGAGGTGGACCTGGGAAACTGAAGGCCACTGTTTCTTTGGAAAAAATGAATCTGTGAATACTGTGAGTGCCCACTGCACCACTGGCTGGACACTCCAGGGAGATGCTCAGAGGGCTTGAGAGTGGGACTGTGCCTATTGCTAACTTGTAGAGAGACAGTGGGGCCTGTGAGGCCTAGAGGGGAGTGCTTGTGTTGCCTGTGGCCAATGGAGTAGGGGAGCTGACTCCTGGCAGGCACAGACAAGGCTTCCTCAAGCTAAGGGCGGGTGGTAGCGTGGTGCTTCACAATCTTGAGAGCTCCCGGGAGGTATCACAGAAGTCTTTCAGCAGAAACCCTGCGCTACATACTGATGCAGTAGCAGCTACTGAATATGAAACTAATGTCTTGAACTACTGTAGGCTCTCTCCATTGCCCACCCATAGTAATATAGCAGAATTTGATGCTTCAGTTAAGAAGGGGTATGGGAAGTTATTTTTGATAAACAAATTACCTGTACATTTTGTGTTACTGACTCTTAAATACCAAACCTCTGTTTAATTCCACTGGTTACCAGACATCATTATTGAAAATAGGCCATTGGTGCAAAGTTCATAATCTTGGCCTTCTGCTTAAACACTCACGATATCTACTACTGAAACATTCTCTGTGTTAGTTCTCTCATGTGGATAGCTAATACAATACTGTTTTCTCGCTTTTATATTGGAATGTGTTGCAAAGCCAATGAATTCTGATACATGTCTTTATAGAAGTATCACACATCACTTTTTATTATTTTTTTTTTACCTTATGGTAGAATGTTATGTCATGTCTGGAAACCAAGAACATTTGAAGTCCTATTTAAATTGCCTTTATATCTTTTCATGAATGAATTATATATCATGGCTGTCTGCCTTAATTTAGGTTTGTGCAAGTCAGAAACTATGCAGTACTTTGAGGAGGAAAGTGAGTGATATTGAGACCCAACTACCAGCTTTACTTGAAGCCAAAATGCTTGCTGTATCAGGTAAGGTTTACGTGATAAGAGATATGATGGTAATGACTTTAAGTTCATACTAGCACCGGACATATTCACACTGATTTCCTAGAAAGGAAAGATTCCTTGTGTAATTACCACAATGTCTTAGAAAATGTTTAGTGAGGGGGATATGTAATAGTCATGCTGAGAATGTGGTATCTTCGCCATAGTCCAAATGTATAAATATGTGATTAGTAGATTTCCTGACTTTTACACGTTAAAAGTACCTACCACTCTTCAGTATCAGAAGAGCCATAAAAATAACAAAAAGTATAATAATTACATGGATAGGTTTTAAATGACACCGTAAAATGGAATACAATAATTGGTAGCTTCTGCTATTTAGATCATTAAACAACTAATGTTGGCAGCAAAAGAGCAATTTGGTCCTTGGAAGCACTCGTGCGTATTCTTTACAACCTGTAAAACACTGAAATGTGAATACAGAGCCTGATTCATGACAGGGTTACATGCCACTTATTTGGGATTACTGCACCATTTACTAGGGGAAAAAAGACTACGCATAATTTTGTTAAAGAGCTGGCTTTTGTAGTTCAGCAAGTCCTTTCCCACACATGTAAGTAGATACCTCTCCATTAGGCACCTGCTACAGAGGACAAGCCAAAGTAGAGGAGGTGTGGATTCAGGCAAAAAAAGTATTCAGTCTTGCACCAAATTAAAGGAAGAGGTCAGTGTGTATTTTATATGTGCCAAAAGGACACACATGATCTGTGCTCTCTTAATTAGAAGCTATAGTACTATTTACAAAAGCATACCTAATTTTAGAATAAAGTATCACGAGGCATCACATGTACTGTTTTCTACAGCTGAATAATGTAAAACTTGAATGCAGACTTCATGATCAAACAAAATCCAAATGGAAATAATTAGAGCCCTGATCCCTGCAAGATGCCAAACATCCTCAATTTCCATAGTCTTCCATGAGTCCCTTACAGACTACAACCCCTTATGTTTTGCTTGGGTAAGGATTGCAAGGTCAGAGCTGTAATGGATTTTCTTGTGCATATGTTAAAGAAACATGGATCTGTGTATTTTTTGGAGCCACGCGCCAGATTCACCAGTATTCTCCAGCTGCTTTGTGCAAAGTAACCAGAAACCAGATTTACAGTTTTTTGTGTTGCGAGAGTGAAGAAGCCATAAAGAACTGGTGCATCAGATTTTGACACTTTTAGAAAATAAAATGTGTTCATCAAGTGAAATCTTCCGTAGCAAAGCATTTTGTACTAGTTTTTAAAAGAGGTTGCTTAGGGTTCAGCAAGGGATGCAAGAGACAATTTAATGCCTCTGTAAACTGTCTTCTCAGTGCTATGAATATGTTGCTTTTTAGGAGTGACAGCACTGTTTCTCAGCAAATTACCATTTTTTCACTCTGGCCCTCTGAAAAGCTCTTCTAGTTCAAGAGTATTTCAAGGATTTTATAAAGTGTTCCTTCATTTTCCCCTTCCCAAATGTCTATATTTTGCTTTCATATGTTGGCAGGAGTGATAACTGTTAACCTCTGACAAAACAGAAGCAAATTATTCTGAAGTTTGATATTCGACAGAATAATCTGTTGGGTGCAATCTTGCAATCCTTACTGAGACAAAACTCCTATTTACTTCAGTGGAAGTTTTCCATGAGTAAGGATTATGGGCTCCAGTTCTGTAAGTTTGTGCTGTTCTCTTCCATTGGCTCTTTTTGTTTTTCTGCACTGGCAGTGTTTGTTTGATATGTGTGATTCATGTGACTTGACTTCTTTGCATTTCTTTGTTACTAGTGGGGTTTTGAAGATTAATTTTTTTTCCGAAGGTGTAATAAAACTTCGTAAAAGGACAGAAACCTGACTGCTGTTGCTAATGTCCAGTCATGAGGCATCTGACTAGAGATTTTTCTTTACGCAGTTGTGCTCTAGGGAAAAGAAAGAAGAACAGAGGTAGAAAGTGAAAAGCCTTTGACACTCTCAATCTGAGGAGTATCTTTATATTGCAGTTTAGGAGGAGTTTTATTTTCTGAATATGAGCCAGTTCCTGCAAAGTGCTGAGCTTAGTGTAAACCACAAATCCCACTGAATTCAGTGGGAGGTGCTGTGTACCCTCAGCTTCCGCTGAAGTCAGTGGGAGAAGTTGAGGGCACTCAGCACAGCATCTTTGCAAGATTATGCCCTATGTGATGTGTTGCTACAGTTTGCTTTCGTTTTTACCATGGAGTAACGGGGATCTGTGAGCAACAGAGTGAGACAATTTAAAGTAGAGAGGAAACAACATTATTTTAATTTTTGAATTAAGTGTGGATGTGATTTGATGACTTGGATGCTGTGGTTCTTCTGCTGATTTATAGCTAAAGTTTGATATGGCTGTTGATAAAACCTGCATACTAGTTGAAGAGAAGAAAACTAAATATCCTACTTACTGTACACTCTTTAAGATATGGCAGGAAAGAGGCGGACACATCTGTAATGGTGGATATTGATCCACTGTTTCTCAGTGTACTGACCTGGATAGTTTATTTACCATTCTTCTTTTCTCTTCTTTCAGATTTGTTAGCTTTGCTCTTTCATGTGTGTGTGCACAAAAATGTAGCCATGCAGCCAGTGGGGTTCCCAGTGGAGTCAATTGGACTCCATGGTTCCCATTTATTCCCTGTTTACTTTCCCATACTCCACACACACACCATTTGGTGCTAAATCACAACAATGTCCCACTAGCTAAGTATGGGTGGTTTTGCTCTTTCTGGAATCCATAAATACCACTCTGAGTGTCAGGCAATGTGATTATTTGGAAGAACTGCAGTGTGTTCTTTTCCTGAGAAAATGAACACCATGCCTCTTTAGAGTACTCTCAGCCTTTGCTGGCTTGAGCAACGAGAGACCAGACTCCTCACAGGGCAACATAATAACCTGCTATTAAGTTGTCTAGAAAGTTTGTATTAATTGAACTTTTTTCTCATCTGCAAATAAACTTCACTTTTATTTCCCCTTAAGTTCCTAGTTTCTTCGTTGATGCATGCACTTGGAAGACTCGTAGATAAAAAGTTACTAGAAAGAAATAATTAAGGGTTTCATATAGGATGATGCCACACTATTTGAAACATGTATTGCTGTAAAATATTCCTTGTGGGTCTTTTATGTGCAACTCCAAAAAGCATTCAGTTTTTGTTACATTGCGAGGAGAAATATTTTGCTTTCAGCAATAGGTACACTATGGTAAAGTGCAGCAGTACTAGTTTAGTATTGCAGGATATGCATTATTATAGTCCTTCAAGAATGTAGCGTTACCAGAAAAAATTGAGAGACTAGGCTATGTGCAAATATTCCCATATAAAACAGTGCAGGGGAACAGTCCGTAGTAGTTGTCGCTGTCCCAGCCGGGCATTGCCATCCGAGTCACAGCACCAAAATTGTGGAAGAAAACAAAGTCCTCACTCTGAGTTTAAAGCAACAAGCCAGAGGCAGCTTTATTACGAGCAATTGCAATTGGTCGGGAGAGTACACACAGGCAGAGATTTCCCTACCTAGGCAGGTCTCCGCCAGATAAACAATTAGGGCAAGCATTTATACCTTTTGTTACATACAGTAATCAACAGCTGCATTTTGTTTTTACATATTCCTTCCTGATATATTACTTTTCTCAGCAATTTTCTGCTACAGTCTGTGTTTCATTCTTATCTAACACAAGGTCAAAATAACCTTTCTCAGTTTTTTTCCCACTCGCCTAGGCCCTGCATTAAAGTCTCGCGTTATTAAATAGAAGAGTTAGCCTGACTCTTGCTCTTCCTGGAAGAATAAGATGTCTTTTCCCAATTTCCACAGAGCCTTGGCACCGTTCACCATCTTCAGTGCCAAGGAAGAAGTAGAAGTCTGAGAGAGGACATTCCCCGGCCCTGAGGTCGACGGGGGATGGAGACGTTTGCAGAGTGGGACCTGCACCCTGACACTCCATGACTCCAGCAACCCATGCAGTGTCATTGACTTCAGCCCTAATGTGGGTGCTGTTGAGCCTGGCACCGGAGGGTCACCGTGGTACCAGCACTTTGGCGGTACCCTCCATGCCAGAGGCATTTGTCACAGTGAGAGACCTATTCTCAATATTGGTACTCATGTCTCTGGCTATATAAAAGCCGATGATGTTGGTGCCAGTAGGAAGGAAAGAGCAGACTACGGTGGTACTGAGGTCCTTGTTACCGTCTAAAGGGAAACCGGCAATGATGACCCAGCCCTGATTTCCTCCTCTTCGGCACTGCTCCTCCGTGGTCTCCAAACAGAGACTCACTGGAGTCAGAGTCATATGCCTTGAGCAGGAGCTGGCACTGGCATTCGAGTCGGCACTACCCTGCAATGGACCCGCGTCAAAGTATCCCATAAGCTGTGTGGCCCTTGGACAGTGGCAGATACCGGTACAGTGGCCCTTCTGGAGTTCCTGGGCTTTTCCCTGGATGCAAGGCCCCCAGTCCAGACACTCCTACTCGGTGGCCTCCAAGGCAAGAACACTACTGCCACTCTGATCAGAGCCTGATCAAGGCTCTGGTACTGAGGCTGGCACTGACTATCAGGAGCCAGCACCACGAGACCCAACTGATATCCTTTGTTACAGACGCATCAGCAATGGGCTGGGGTGCTCACTTGGGCTCCCTTAGAAGTCAGGGCCTTTGGTGTCCAGAAGAATTTTCTCTACACATCAATGTCAAGGAGCTCAGAACAGTCCACTAGGCTTCCCAGGCATTCCAAACCCATGTGGCAGGCAAGAATATGTCAGTTCTCACAGACAACATAATGGCAGTGTTTTATATCTCAGTTCACCTTGAGGCCTCCTAACTACCGGGAACATAGAACGAACTAGTGGATCACCTCAGCAGATCCTTCTCCGACCACCCTGAATGGTCCCTTTGCCCAGATGTCATAAAAGACATTTTCGAGAGGTGGGGAACACCCCACATAGATCTGTTTGCGACAAAGCGCAACACGAAGTGTCTCCGTTTCTGCTCCCTCCTGG